AACTCTAATTTCGTTAATCGTCTTTGCAGCTTCCTAGTCTACTCAAAAGCCAAAAACAGTGGTTATTATAGTAATGATATTAACTGAAGATTCACGCCTTCCTGATTTTATTCGGATTAGACTGGCAGTCTTGCTTCATCCCCACTGCCATAAATCATGCGTCAGTTCAACTGCAATTGCAACCGAAAGAGTAAATCATCATCGATTTAAACTTACTACCTCCGATTTAAAATCATCACTAATTCATGTAAATAGAAGGGCGGAGTAATTGGATATTATTTCTTTGTAGCAAAATTTAACAAGGCTTTACTGATAAAAGTGCTTCAGAGCATTCTCAGAGGGAGTATTCGTAGTAGCTTAACAATTGGCTGGATATTGTCAAAACACTACGAACATGGTATCGATTTTTTTTTTTTTGGCGTTAGGACTAGGAGTCCATGCAGCCAGTCACTACGTTTCTTATACATATATATTTATAACACATTGACGCCACAACATCCATGGCTTCGGAATGTGATTTCTGAAGGCGAGATTCGAACTCGCGACCCGGCCGGCTGGCTGATCAGTAGCACGACACTCTGACCCACTCGGCCAACCGAGGTCCCATGGTATCGATTATTCTTATCATATTTATCAGGGATTCGACATCATTTTCATCGACTGCAGACTAGAATTGGTCATAACCGAGATGCCATGCGTTTGCAAGAAGCACCAAATAGTTGTTCCTTTCTGGAGCACCTATACCTTTTTCGCAATAAGGAACAAGACTTTTTTATAGCTTTGCTATAAAATTGATTTGGCTCTACCACCAAAAGGCACACTTTCCAGTTGTTCCGCCTGTTGAACATACTTCAACTATACTTGGGTAACAGAACGGTAGAGAGTAGTAACAAGTCATACGCCACAGCTATCCCGATGTTTGTACTCGTATCTGCAAAGTCGATGCGAGCAAAATCCTTCATATTCAACGCAGCAGCAGTGGTGTGCGATGTGTTTTGCCACTCTCTTTCGCTTACTAGAGTACTTCCATCTATCCCTCAAGTGAAGTGGGGAGATCCTATCTACATTCAAGCTACACTGCCACTATTTGCCACTATTATGGTTCTGTTTTCAAATAGTTTTGGTATGATACCTCTAGAGACTACGGCATGTTTCTGGGTATGAGATGCGGTCAAAAATACGTCAAATGCGTTTCTCACTAAGTAAAAATTCTTCTGCGATTCCTCAAACACTTTTCTAATTTTGTGACGTAGTAATCTTAACTAGATTTGGCATCGGCATGTGGAACGAAGACTTCTCATTCATTATAAAGGCACTACATGCCTATTTCAGCCAGTGCCTCGATACGGCACTTTGGCGTGTTGTTTTTCCTCTGGAATTCCCGGGACCTATTAGCTCTGCCTCAGGACGCATTCCTGACGTCCTGAATCCCGTCTAGTGCTACCGCAAGGCTTAAAAATTGATTTAGATTGTTTCATTCATTATAATAAATTCTAATACGGAAAACGAAAAATATCATTTTCTGTCTACTTCTGTGTGTAACACACGGAAACAAAAACGACTGTGGTATGTCATAAAAACATCAGGTTTGCACTAAAGTATATTCAGATAAGAGATAGACCGGACATAAACAAGACCACGTGATCATCGAACGTTGTAACATTCGGCAGGGACGTATTAAGAGTCCCGCAGTACATATTTTAGATAGTAGATGCTGCTTTGCGTAACTTTGTAGTAAATTAGCACAATTCGATGTGTATACGATTGGTGATGGATATAGGATCATGTGGGGGTGGGGTAAGAAATATATAATGATGTAAATATACATAAGGGTTTCAAAATTTTCGCTTCGATTTCCAGCTTCGGATGCCGCCTGATGTTTGGTGAAATACAGTCGAATATAATCTCAAAATGGCGTTTAAATTAGCCTAAATTAAAAATAATCGTATATCTCTTAAAATTGCTTTTAGAATATTGATTAGTATATTTTTTGATTTCTAGGTAAATATGTAACCAAATTAAAACGTTCAAAACGTAAAAAAATGTGCATGGTTGAACATTGTCAGAAAGTAGATTCTTGAATAGGTTTTGCCAAAATGGGTTCAAAAATGTCAATAATTAATTAAAAAATACAGTAGCTTTATAATTACTTATAACTTACCGAATTTGGTGAACGACATCTTTTATTGGAAAGATGAGCTTGATGAGCTTTCATCATCGCTACTGCCTGAAGCACCAACGTCAATAATGAATGGCTCGACTTGTTCCTCTAAAATATTGTCCAGTTCCCACATTCTCTTTTCAACTTTGTCTTTCACGTGCTTAATACAGTTTTCCCATTTTTGCGCTGTTATTAATTCTAGTGCTTCTTTGAAAAGTCCTTTGAGGTCACAAAATTTAAAAGTTGTATTGTGCTTAGCTATATAATTTTTAACCTCTGCCCATATGAGCTCAATGGGATTGAGCTCGCAATGGTATGGAGGTAAACGGAGCACAGTTTTATTTTGACTTGCTGCCATTTCGTCAATGGCGTATTTTTGATATTCCGCCTTGTGATCCTTGACAATTCTTAATAATTGTACTTTCAGCATTGCTTCTTCAAAGTTGATATTTTTCGAGCGGAGCCAATTTTGAACATCAACTTTCCTTGAAACCGTTGTTGGGACCTTCTCCATTCTTCGAGAATGATAAGGCGCATTATCCAACACAATTACTGCGTTTTCCTCTAAGTTCGGTAAAATTTTTGAAAACCACTGTTCAAACGATTCGCCATTCATTTCCTCGTGGTAATCTCCAGTTTTCTTAGACTCAAAGCACCACAGACCGTCAACAACAAATCCATCCTCACTGCCAATATGGCAGATAATGAGCCTTTTCCCTTTACCTGGAAATCGAAGTACTAACTGGTGTTTCAATAAGCGAACCTTTTTCAAATGTTTTCATCACATTCAGCGAAAAAACATTGAAACATGAGTATCAGATTGCTATAATTGGGATTATTTAGTCATATTGAAAGAAAGAATATTGAACGTCATATGATTACTCAGCGCTTCACAATTTAATTTAAAGTTATAAACCTTTAAAAAATGAATGATCAGGAACCTGAAATACGCGCAAATATTAATATTAACAAATTATAACTTTATAAAGCTTAAAGTATGAATTAAAATGATTAGAAATATTAGGAACGGTACACAATATAAAACTTAGTAACTTTTTTTAAGTTTATAATATTCGACATATTTTAAGATTATATTAAAAAATTATTGAAATATCGAAAACACATAAAAACATGGCTTAAAAAAGTTCTAACAAATGAAAATGACAATAAAACATCCACGCATTTTATCGAAAGTTATAAAAGTTTTGTTACTTGTAATATGTTTTATCTGCCCCCTGGAATTAATGTTTAGAACCTTGTTCCCAAGGTTTGAAAAACATCGGATTGTTGTCTATTACTCGTATTTACCTGCTGGATTTTTTAATCCGGTGGACAGTCCATCTAGAAAGGCCCTCCTGGATGAAGTTACAGAATCATCAACCCATACTTTACTTGTAGTGTGTCCTGCGTTTACCCACGTTTCATCAAGGTAATAAATCTTCCTGTTTTGATTTCTATATTTCCCAATTTTTGTTAAATAATCCCTCCTCCATAGCACAATTTCTTCTCTATCCAGTAGTAAACTATTACGACCCCGTTTTTTCCATTTGAAATTTAAATGCTTCAGTAATGGATGGAAAGTTGATCGTTTGAAATTTGGCAACGTTGTATCTCCATTTACCTCCTGCAGTACTTTATCTATAGTAGGTATTTCATTCCTAAAGAAGAATTCATGCACTTTCCTCCTAATCACATGCTTATCAGCTTCATCCAATGATTTAACAATACTTTTGCGATGTTTACTGGTCATTGGCTCAGAAAAGGTGTGATTTTCTTTGTATTGTCTTAACACATTAAACACTGATGCGCGACACACCCCAATTTTGTGAGAAACCTTCACAACAATTTCTTTGATGGTTGATGCCTCGTTCTCCTCGCGCTCGATCTTATATATATTCAAAATGACCTCTTTCATTTCTGCACTCAGGTGTCTTTTTTTAGAACGTTTCCTAGGTGGACTACAGGAGTTTACAACTTCATCGGCAGTATCTGTACTACTGGGCATTTTGCGCAGGCAGTTGATAACAATAACAATCAATAACAAGGTATAACAATAACAACGACAAACTCAACAACTTAATAAGATAACAAACGAAAACGTTCAAAGAAATATCAAATTGCAATGATGCACACGACATACGTAACACGTCTGAACCTGAATGTGAATCTGCCTTGATACGACTGCTCTGCCGCTCGGCATAGGCATTTAATTGCGAATTGACCAATGGGGGCTTCTGTTTTACGTCGAGACGGCGGCGTTAGTGTGAAAATCACCCGAACCTTTTGTTTACATCCGGTCTATCTCTTATCTGAATATACTGTAAGTCGTTGTAAATCTTCATGTTCTGATCTCTTTTTCTCCATTACAACTCCTATAAGTATTCCTTTCAATGTGAAAGAGTATACTGCCACACATGGTGGACTCGCGGATCATCTTGTCTACTTGCTACTCATTCTGTAGTTAAGAATGGCTTCATGCTTAGATTCCGCCAGAACATTATACGTTTCTGGCATCAGTGCTAGCTTCCACATCTTCATCCTCAACTCAGTTTCCACAGTCATATATGCAATAGGTACCTCTTGCATTACCATTTTCCATCTAGTTGTCAAACGCAGAAGGGAAGGAAAAAGCCACCTCTCTCTTCTTCTCTCGTGAACTTTTAATTTATGAAAGTTCATCGTATATTATAACACGTGAAGAACTCGCGGATCATCTTGTCTATTCGCTACTCAGACTGTAGATAAGCTTGGCTTCAACTTTAGATTCCGCTAGAGCATTGCACGTTTCTGGTATCAGTACCAGCTTCCACATCTTTATTCTTAACTTCCAATGACATACATGCAGTAGGTGGTTCGTCTAAGAGCGCTCTGGTGCTGTTGGTCTTTGCTTGTTGGTGGCAGAGTGAGTTCTCCAACCCTGGCTTTCGCTCCACAGCTTCCTGGCATGGAATTATCGACGGTTGCATACGCGTGTTTGCTGTCTGAAGTTATTGTCTCTGTTTTAAATTTGAATTTGACAGAAGGGGTTATCCGGCTGACGGTTCTCTTGGTGGATTCAGTTATTCCAGCTGGTGTAGTCTTATCAACTAAGAGAGTCGAAACTCGTGTCATCGATGAGCTTCGATGGGGAATCGGTGTAATTTTGATGACGGTGTTTTTCAAAGCATTGACTGTTCCTTCTAATGTAGAAGAAGCCTTATTTATTGCTTGAGTTATTTGTTTAGGGGTATTGTATGTCTTCAACATTGAGTCTAGGAACGTCTTGTATGTCTCGGGATAACCGTCCAACAAGAAGTTGCTGTTTCTTATCAAGGAGGCGAGATCAAACTCAAATTCAAATTCAAAATACATTTATTTGCCAAAAACCAAAAAAAACATTATATTTACCGTGTTATAGAAAATACACACACTTAATATTTTTGGCAAAAAAGACAAATCCTCGATCAAATGACCATTAACACCCAGCCTTACATAAGTAGGGTGGGTGTGAAAATGCCCTGTCTTACACTAATTTACACATATATTATAATATAGGCGTGTCCGTAAAATAAGTTCCACAAATTTTTTTCATAGCAAAAAATTGGTTTAATTGCAAAGAAAATACATTTTTGAAAAGTTCAGTCTTTCTTTTATTTTTCTACATAATCGCCGTTGCGTTCAATGCATCTCTGCATTCGAGGCACCCACTTCTTCAAACCAGAGTCATAGAACTCTGCCGCCTGTCTGTGTAGAAAACTAACAACCGCGTTTTGCACCTCTTCATCTGTCTGGAATTGGGTTCCGCCAAGGTTTTTCTTCAACTCAGGGAAGAGATGGAAGTCACTTGGTGCTAAGTCTGGACTGTAGGGTGGGTGAGACACCATTTTCCATCCAAATCTTTCGATGAGGGCCGTGGTTCGATTGGCGGTGTGCGGTCGGGCATTGTCATGGTGAAAACGCACTCCTTTCGTCAGCATTCCTCTTCTCTTGTTCTGAATGGCACGTCTAAGATTTTTCAAGGTCTCACAGTACCGGTCAGCATTGATTGTTGTCCCGCGAGGCATAAACTCGCACAACAATACGCCCTTTCGATCCCAAAAAACGCTAGCCATGATTTTCCCGGCAGACAGAATTTGTTTGAACTTCTTTGCTCTTGGTGAAGAAGAGTGCTTCCACTGCTTCGATTGCTCCTTTGTTTCCGGTGTGGTGTAGTGTACCCAGGTCTCGTCACCAGTAACAATAGAGTCCAGAAATTCCTCTTCGGTTGTTCCGTGAAAAGCGAGAAATTCTTGGGCCGCTTCAACCCGCTGCCGCCGGTGGTCTGCAGTGAGCATTCTTGGTACCCATCTTGCGCAGACCTTTGAATAGCCTAAATGTTCAGTCAAAATCTTGTCAATTGTGGTTTTGCTGACCTCCGGAATCTTTGTGCACAGCTCCCGAACTGTAATCCGTCGATCTTCAAGCATTGCCGCTTCGACTTTGGCAATTGTTTCGTCGGAAACCGATGGCCGCCCTGCACGGGCTTCGTCGTGGACGTCTGTTCGGCCATTTTTAAAGTCCCTGACCCATCTGCGCACAATCCCGCAGCTCATACAGTCTTCTCCATACACTTGAGTGGGGGAACCAAACAATCTGCCTCTGTTGCCTGGCTGTGCATAGAAACGATCCTAGCGCCAGCGGCAGCCCGTGGAACTTATTTTACGGACAAGCCTCGTATATAAACAATATTTTGGAATTTAGTGACTTCATTTATTACGGGCATGAACCATTGATATTGCAGAAGAAAAAAAAATGTATTTACTCACTTAAAAAGTCAACGTTCCGACGGGTGGGGAGCAGATAAGGTCTTAGTTGTTGTAAATCTTCATATTCTGATGTCTTTTTCTCCATTCCGACTCATATAAGTATTCCACACCGTCATTCTCGGCTCAACATCCAATAACTTACGTGCACTAGGTGGTTCGTCAAGAGCGCTTTCGTGCTGTTGGTCTTTGCTTGTTGGTGGCAGAGTGAGTTCACCAGCCCTGGCGGAAGCTGTGGAGGGAAACTCCACAGCTTCCTGGCATGGGAGTATAGACAGTTGCATACGGGCGTTTGTTGTCTGATGAACACATGGTGGAATCGCTGATCACCTTGTCTATCTACTACTCAGACTGTAGTTACGCTTGGCTTCATGTTAAGGTACCGCCAGAATATTGTACGTTTCTGGTATTAGTACTAGCTTTCACATCTTCATTCTCAACTCAATTTCTAAAGACTTGACAAGACAGACAATTCCCGAATTACAATCTTTCCATCTAGTGTTCAAATGCAGTGGAGAATACTACGTTGCCTAAACCTTGTTTTTCATGATCTTCTGGTTTACGGGACATTGACGTATTTTTCTATATAATCTTATGCTCAACTAGAAGTAGATGAGTTCCTAGCTCTTTGGATACTTCCGAGTTAGTTTAGCTCCTTTCGATCTGCAATGTGTACTAATCCATCCAGACTTGAATGGAGTTTCAGGTTGGTATTGAATTCTTTAATGCATGATCAGTCTCATTGTCCTCTTGTTTTGAAGTGGCTAGCACATTATATGGGGTTGTCCAAAATGGACGCAAGACAGTAAACGCATATTAAAACAAGAAAGATTGATATTCAAATCAAGTTGGGTACTTTATTTTGAAGGTTCATTTATACCATTTATGTATGAAAAATAATATCGCTCAAATGTTCACCACGACTGGATTTACAGACGTCCACGCGATGGTCGAAATTTTCAATGACATTTTGCAACATGGACGGTTCTATGGCATTTATCTCGGCAACGATGTTGTTTTTGAGTTCTTGGAGGGTGGCAGGTTTGTTGACGTAGACTTTGCTTTTCAAATATCCACATAAAAAGAAGTCCAAGGGAGTCAAATCGCACGATCTTGGTGGCCATGGCACATTTCCTCTGCGCGAAATCACGCGATCACCGAAGAAGGACTGCAATCGATGGATATTAACTTTGGTTGTGTGGCATGTTGTACCGTCTTGTTGGAAATAAACATCGTCCATATCCATTCCTTCAAGTTGCGGCAAAAAATAGTCCTCTATCATCACGAGATATCGCTCAGAATTGACGGTAACGGCGTCCCCGGTCGCATTTTCGAAAAAATAAGGTCCGATAATGCCTTTTGACCACAGTGCACACCACAGAGTCACTTTTTGAGGATGCATCGGCTGAACATGATTTTTGATGAAAAATTGGCATCAATTTGGCGGTGTTCAAGGAGCCAATCTGAGAACGTTCGGCGCGAAAAATGGTCGGCCCGACGCAGCTCTTGCGTCAATTGGATCTTGTAGGCGTGTACATTCAAATCCTTGTGGAGAATGCGGAGCAAACTGGTTCTCTTATTTTTGCACCATTTTTGTAGTGCTCTTGAATAACTTTAATGCGGTCTTCAATCGAATACGACTTCATAGCGATCAATGGTAAACATTCAACTAACAAAATGACATGTCGGTGACAGAAAACAAAGATGGCGTCTATGTCAAATTGACGTTTACTTTCCTGCGTCCCTATTGGACAACCCTATAATGTTCCAGCTGTGTTTTCTCAGTTCACTCACCAATAATTCATTTGACGACTGCTTGGTAATTTTGTGATGAAGTAATCTTACTTGTATTACCATGGCACGAAGTTGTCCTTGTTTTAGGTAACGTTTTAGCCGTCGTCTAAGATAGAATGCAGTTAGCCTAAATGTATGTCGAAAAATGGTGCGTGAGGTCAGGGCTCCCAGTCGATTCATCTAAGACTGAGATAGTCTCTTCACTAAGCGACGGAATTTCAGTCCACCGTCATTCCATGATATACCACTGACCCTCAGTCAAGAAGTAAAATACTTGAGCGTGGTGACAGTTGCATACTCGTTTCTGATCCTAGCGCTAGTTTCCACTGACATACATGCAAAAGATACTTCCTGAACTACCATTTTTCATCCAATAATCAAGCGCAGAGGGAGAGGGAAGTTTTTGCACCACGTTCTTCTTTTTTCATTATCTTTCAATTTATGGAAGATTATTGTATATTGTATATACTGCATGTGCGTCTTGGTTGTCCGATGAACAGGTGATGGGCTCGCAAATCATCTTGTCTATTTGCTACTCAGACTGTAGTTAAGTATGGCTACATGCTTAAATTCCGCCAGAACATTGTCCGTTTCTGGAATAAGTATTAGCTTCCACAAATTCATCCTCAACTCAATTTGCAAAGACATGAATGCAATAAATAATTCGTGTATTACCATTTTCCGTCCTATAATCAAATGTAGTGTGGCAAGAAAATCCCACCATTTTCTTCTTTTATATTTGAGGAGTAATTTGAAGGCACTCTTCACAACACTGTCGCAGGTCTTCTAATGATGTTGGCATGTTGACGTGTGACGGCATTGCATGTTTTACATATGTTGGTGACGGCTGTTCGAACAGGGCTTTTGACGTTCACCATTGTTAGTGGAATACTAATTTCTAGTTAAAAGAAATCCTTGAAATTTCAACTCTGTGAGTGTTAGGTCAAGCAAATATAACGGCGAAGGCGAGTGACGCCTGTCGAGTTATTTTTACTTTCAGCTTTCTCTCCCTCTGAAACAATTTCCCTTATGTTTTTCCATGCGTAAGATGCGAGAATTTCGTTCAGTATTATTTCATCCCGGAATGTCTACAATGACGTCGCTTGATACACTGAACGTAGGCTGTTGTTTGCAAACTCACTCTGCGAAATTGAGATCATTTAGTCGACGGACCTTTTATTTAGGACTGGGTTTTTAGAATTTTGCCACCCACTGGAATAAAATCAATCCAACAAGAAAAATATATGTACAAGGATATTTTGTTCAAATTGTGAAAATAGTAGACTGTATTTGAGCAAAATAAATTTCTTAAGTATTTTCATGTGATGTTCAATGGAAGCAGGAGCTTTTGCGGTCTTTATCGCGGTTCTAGCACTGCTAGATCCCTGTGAGGGCTTACAGCCATCAGCAAGTGCCCTTGAAAGGGTACTGATGGTTTCAGCCATCTCACGTACGGTAGAGGTAGAGGTGCCGAAGACGTGTGCTGCCGCTACGATAATAGATTCGTAGTCAGCATAACTGACTCGTGCTCCTACCCCGGGGTTGGCTGCTTCAACATATCGACGAATGTCGACCATATGCTGGATGGGCACCTGCCCCGGTTTCGAACTGTGTAAACCTTCCTTTCCGCAAAAAGTCCAGAAAAGATGGAATGCAATGAAGAGTCCAACTTTTCTGCACAATCACAGAAAGGGTGTGACCATTAGCTTCCGGTAGCTCAGTCGGTGGCATGAAGACATCTACAGGCGTGTAGCTGTGTGTCGACCATGACATGGCTAGAGGATAGAACAACAAACAGAACACAAAAAATTAACAGATTTTATTAAACTAGAAAAGCATTTTCATTACATTTGAAATTGAAATTTTAAAGAACAAAATGAAAGATTTAAATCTTTGGCGCTGTTACAAAATCATCCACTTATCTTTCGCTAAACTGGTGCATTTTGACTGGACTGAAGCGAGGATGGCCAGGTGCTTCAAGTGGAGGTCCCAGTTATGAGGGGTAACCTCACATTTAGTGGCTTCAAAACTAGTTGTAGGCGAAGGATGCAGTGAAGTTGAACTTAAAGGTGATGGCGCTGCCAAGGCACATGCATGGGTGAAGTGATAGGCCAAGCAATGCAAAGTCAAAGGCAAAGGCAAAAGTCAAAGACAAAGGCAAAGGTCAAAGACAAAGGCAAAGGGAAACGGGGTGGCCCCAATCGTTTTATCCTATTTGGACACACATTTTACAAAATGCTAGCACATGGTGCTATATGACCTCATGCTACAGAGAACAAAATTCTCAGCTCTTGTTAGATCGGCGGCTCAAGTGAAAAGGAAGCGCGAGGAAGATCACAGATCAGGAACTCCGCATCAAGCGCACTCCAAGCGGAGATATTTCCAAGTAAAAAAGCTAGAGATGGGATAAGCTAGAGATGGGATTAATGAGTTGCGATTCTGAAAAGAAAATCGAGAAGTGATTTAATAAATACAATCGGAAACCGTTACAAACTGCAGGAACTACTCTCCATTTTTGTATCGCAAAGAGATGCAAATCTGCAAAGCAGGATACAGTGGGTTAGATCAAAGCTCTAACTTGCTTGGCGAATAGGAAAGGTTAACGAATGCGATTAATCTCGTCGATGGCTTTGCTACGCGTTGTAAACGGTAAAACCAATAAAAAAACCGTACGTGCAAATGTTATGTTTTCTACAGCAACACGAAAATTATAGCTTCTGTATAGAGGAAAGAGTAAGAAACATAACCCAGTATGATATTAGTAGACTTACTTTCTCTTTCATATAGTGTGCGTACAAATTTAAACCGTTTTTATTTGAATTACTGCTGATGGATCCCCATGGCACCCAAAAGGTTATGGCAGTATAGTCAAGACACATTTTATTGAAGAAGAAAAATGTGATGCAGAGGCGAGCAGACTTAACATTGCAACGACACGTTCATCATGTATCTGGAATTGAAAATAAACATTAAAATAATGAACAAAAATATTGAGATAAGTACTCACATTTAATGACGTTTTGTATGGAGCTTGTGTCAGATACGTTTGTCTTATGATCAGAGTTTTTATTGAGTAGCTTTGTTCGTTCTTCTTGAGCTCTTCAAAGACTCTAACCTGCATTGATGAGGTTGGGAACTTAAATCATTATTTATGGACTCAAACGCTTACCTTATCCCATTCATTTTTTGTCCAAGTACGAAAATTACTCAGTTTAATATGCACCAAAACCTTTTTAGGTACTTTCACTTGGTTTTATGTAATATCAGTGAAAAACAACCCAAAAATTGTTATCAAAACAATTTAGTTGCCAAGAATTGATGGGCCCCGAGTCCCGAAAAATTGTCATCGCGCACACAGCGAATACAGCACAATCACATAAGGACACGTCGAATGTTATCTTCGAAATAATATTTCCATGGACGAGGTTTTTGTCTCAAAAAGTTATTGTCTAGGCATTCAGGACCTTAATAAATTGGGATGAAATTGGGAAACATGTCTGGAATTCGAGTTCGTTGATTCGTTACTGACTCATCAAGGCGGATTCCTAGAACACAAAATATTAAAAAACTGCCACCTTGCAACGGCAATTTAGAACTAATAAATGATGTCGAGCTCACAGCGAGCACACTTTTTTTACATGTCGCATCCCGTTTAGCTGTTAATTAGTGGAGATAAATAATTCTAATTGGTATCAACGGGAGAAGCATAACAAATAGGTATAATAAATCAATAGGCAGCGGATGACCATTAATCATGGGTAGTCCCAAAGAAAGATAATATATTATAAAGTGTCTGATGGTTTCTGCAATTTTCACAGTTTGTGGAAAACCTTTCATTTGTTTCCAGCTGTTGACATGGCAGTAATTTGATTGATAAGTATGACCTCGGTAAAGCGAGCTTTAAAGCAGACTAGCTAAAACCAAGAAGTTTTAAATAGCTGTCGTACAAATCTGGTATAAAGAAGAGATTTACCAAGTAAGAAGACCTACTATCTAGATAACACATCTTTGTTATCTGGAGTTACTTATTTTAGATTTTAGAAGGTGTTCAACAACTTTTAAGGAAAATCATACAATGTTTTAGAAATTGCGTTTATAAATTGATATAGGGTAAGAATGATTGGAACAATAATTAAAACAAATTCTAAAGGGGAATGATATATTTCAACAAGCCCACACAGTTGACAAATCTGGATCAGCATGATATTAACGTCATTTCAATTTTTCCCCTTTGTCTCTTAAAGGCATGGTATCTGTCCTAATAATAATTTTTCGTATTGAAAAAAAAGCTCGCAGAGCGGCACTCTATTTGCTGGAAAAATCTATCAATAAATAGCTCTTTAATGAGAAAGTGGTAATTAATGCAAGAAATTAACATAAGATATCGATAGAAACGCTATCAGTGGGGAAAGAAGCAGGTCCCTATATCTGAATAGATTAGTTCGTAAGAATGAGGAAGTTAACCGCATGCAATAAATATTTCATGTCGATTGATTGCCGGATAGTTTATCTTTATCAGAATCGAGTTTCCATAGAATGATAAATGGCTTTACCTCTTGTCTTCTGTCTATACAAGGTGTCTAAAATCATAGCATTGAGGCAATATTTAAAAAAGCTAATAGTCCTTTAGGATAGGCTCTACCAAAAGATATTGCTCGTTTCCAAACATTCATTCACTTACTTGCCGTTCATCGGAACCATTATGGCACCTTAGATTGATATTCCCACAAAACCATTCTGGTTTTTTAATATCCATACATCCATAAAGGAACTTAATAAACATCCACACTATATTCACAGCGATTAAGAAATACCCAAATATATGTCGTAGAGCTACCAGCAAACCTAAAACCTGCAGAAAAACTAGAAATTTGCAATATTTTTCTTTTTTGACTGAGTACATATTCTGGGTTATACGTATATAAGACGTTATTTGAATCACAAAACATATAGACTGATTTGAATAACAGCTCATTATCTCCTGATAGTGTAAGACTAACCATATCGACAAGTGACACATAATTCTGTGGGATCCATCAACACTCCCAGTGGAGCAAACTCTGCCAACTGTCGAAATAAACTTTATTAATTCCATGTCTTATTTTTGTTTACTGTGCTTGCTTAGATATTCAAATGAGGCCAGGAATTATAAGCGCCTGGCTATTTTAGGCCTTCAGTAACTCCTTATTTTAGATCTCTCCTTATTTTGTTTTTTCCACGCATTCATGGTAGAAAGAAAAATATATTATCGAATATCGATACCGTAAACCGTGCAGCGGGCACGCCCATCACTACTTTGACAGATTGCAGAATGATGTCAAGGTTTCAATCGTTATGTGGCAGTTGTTTTTGTTTTTGTCTGAAATAGGTAAGTAGGCTTTGTGTATTCATTTTTGTTTTTATAGCGTTTCCAGAATTTCATATTTCGAAACCATGTCAAGGACCGGCAGGGGAAAATCTTTCTCTGAGAACTGAAAATCATTAAACGCGCTGTTTTCAGTATTCAAATACTACTAAACACCTAAATAGCTTTCTGGCCTTTCAATTTCGAAGCTACCAGTCCTCGCTTAGAGATGGTAGCACAGTTAAGGATAGACTCGGGGTATACGGTTACGATATCGATGTATCGTCATGAAACCATCGATGCGTAAAGATTGATGTTCTACGACCGATGTATCTATGTTTTCGATACATCAATGTATCGTCTATCGTCGCCATCCCTATATTGTATCCCCACCAGTCGCCAAATTTAACAGCTAGAAAATCGACCTATTATTTCTCCCATTCCCATTCGCCGAGGGGATAACGGTTGGTCAAATGTACACCTATAACATAAATCAAAATACATGAAAGTTGTCCTGTTTTTTCTGTACAAAAGCATCATGTTGGAATCAAAAAGTGGTCTTGTTTATAATACAGTCGAATTTTCACGATTTTATTCAACATTTTAATAGAAATCACTGATATCCTGAAACCTTTGACAGCTTCCGTCAAATTGCATTTCGATAAGGTATTTTCCTATTGGTCCATAATGTTAATGTTGGAAATCGGCCCTTAGAATATCTTTTGGCTTAAAAAAACTGCATCAAGTGGTAGAGCCAAGGATGACACATTTGCATTATACTCACACAACCGTAGCTTGAGTTGCACAATGTGTGTACATCATTGACAATTATGCTGTAAAAAAGCCTTATATCGGTCCTGTATCTTGTATTTACAATATTGTAATACACAAAATAATAACATATCATTAACAAAACGCCGCGCAAATAAAAGTACAATAAAATAATACAGGTACTTACTTTTTGGGCCAAGAAAGTCCAGTCCGACGAAGAGAAATTCGCCCCGACTGATCCCAGGGCAGAAATAATTGCACGTGTCGGCCCATCCAGTTCTTATAAACAGATAGAACCCCCACCTGCGGCGAATAATACACATTTTCAGATCATGCATTATTTGCCGACAATGTGCACATTTCTCAGCGGAAGCCGGTTTAGGATGTCTATCGACCTACATGGCGCCTATGTGGCGCATACAAGGTGCTACAGGATGATCACTCCTCGCAATATACTAATTTGTAAAACATTTTGCCTGTCAATTATGTGGCGTTATCTACACCAAATCGCCTCCACTTCATCATCAAGGCACAAGACAGCACGTGTAAAATATGGTACCAAAAGAAGATTCTGAAAAAACCCAAACCAAGCCAAACCGAATAAAACCAAAATGTCGTCTGGGCGTGGGTTCACCGGAAAGGTAGACGATTTCCGATATGAATCTACTAAACGGAAACAGGATGGGAGTTCACTTGACAAAAGGAACCTGTATTATATAGTATTAGCTAAGCTCACCTGCATTCAAGATTCATCAATACACTACAACCATTCTTACTCTTCTTCAAACCCACCTGATATTGCTAGATTCACTTCCGCTTCTGGCAATCACATAAAATCTTGTAACATAATATAGAAACCATATCGATGATGCCATGTACGCAACAGGCATGCACCCATTTAAGGTGCTGTCATTCGGAAACTGTGGATCGGATTTGTCGCGCCATGGTTTTTTAATTTTGATTGAATTATGTATGACTAGTTTTCGATGGCGATCGAAAATAATACGAACATACTCAAAAGCCTTCAAAATAACAAAAAAATCTACCGACGAATAGTGTTCCGTGTAAGCTCTTGACACAGTTGCTGAATTATATCCGTTCCTTTCCATTTTTTCAGGCCGAGTGGCTTTCAACACTCTCAAGATCCTCTAATGCGTGAAGATTTCCCGAGGGATAGCATATGAAATGGCAAAGATGATAGTGAAAGAATCCAGGGACTCGGATTCCGTACATGTCTACTTCAGTGAACTTATTTTTGGGAAAGGGTCAGACAAGTCGAGCGTAAATGATAACGGGCAGATACGATAGGAACATATGGCAATGATATTATTAGATTTGTCAAAGTCCCTGTTTTTGTAATCTGCTCAAAAAAATGAAGAATTTGCCTCCTGGTACTAGAGCCAAAAGTTGATGGACAGATACAGGTCATTCTGGAAGACGGAGCTTTCATTTTAAAAAACAAGTACGCTTGGAATAACAAAGATTATATGCAGTAAAACAGCAGAGCAAAAGTAAAAAGAATATGAAAAATAGTATCCATGTGTTCAATTGCTACCCTGTAACATGTTGCTTATGCATGGATACCATTCGAAGGTATTTCTGTCCGATTTAAAACATAAGTTTGTTAATTCCTTTATCAATACTCGACACCAGAGGCTGTCTAGGTCTTCAGTTGCGCCTACCTCGATGTTCCTGAAACGACCATCATACGATTTGAGGAAACCTATGTGGCCTGGGATGGAAACGTCCCGGAAGATGTTGTTGAAGTCTCCTAATGTCAACAAACGTCATATTGACAAGTTCGTTGTTGCCGTAGGAACGTGCTGTCATTGTTTTTTCAAATTTGATTAATAAGAAAAAAATTGGGTGACCTACACTACACGATGCACCTGGGTTAGACACTGATGCAAGTCGTGTCTCTTCATCTAATCCTTTCAGATTCTGGTGTAAGTTACCATAACTTAAAAAAAAAAGTAATCGGATACAACTTGCATGCCGGTAATTCTTCTAATAATTCTATATTACCCAGCGGTAGCCTCTAAACGAGCAATATTTGAGTGGCACATTTGTCTACAAGTAACATAGTCATCATGAACATGTAGAAGCAGATGACTGGCTATAAATATATCTCGGCTATATCTTGGCAATATTGTCTGCAATATGTACATACAGATCAGAATTTCTACAAATCGGGCAGGAATGGTTGACGAAATTGTACTCGTCATTGCTAATACGATTACGATCGTTCGACAAGCTAACAGCAATATACACAAATATATCCCAAATGTCTAGTAGGTATATATAGCTTGTGTAACCGGGCTAACTAAAAACATTGCCATATGTTGCTGGCGTCGTATAACTGTATGCTGGCGGATAGGACAGGACCGACTTCGGTTTGGTTCAGGTTTTGATTGAGTTTGCGGAGCCCAATATTTCGGTTCTCTTAAGATATTGGTGTATACGCTACTACTTATTTTTCCATGATTTACACTTCGTGTATTGTAAAACCCCAACTTTGCGAACACCCTGTATTGCTCATTCAGTTACTTAAAGCACAATCTTGTTTTGGAAAAATAGAAATCAAAATTTTGTTTGGCGACCATTTTATTTTGGAAGATAAATGCCTAACCACTTTATGTTGATTATATCTAAATATCATACGCTTACTCACTACCATGGTGTCCTGCAAGATTGACAAAATAAAATTGCATACACAATTTTGAAAACTGTTAGTACAGAATGAAAAAAAGAAGTTTGGCTCTCATGTTGGTTACCTTCGCTGCATTACATGTGTATTCCCTCCATCGTTGTTATCAGCTTGATCTTCAAAACAACTCAAGGTAGCCGGGTGTTTAATAAAAAACTGCTGTAATCTGCTGTGTAGACATAATGACAGCATTTAATGCGCAACTTAGATGCAGTTAAAGATTATGAAATATTATTCACTAATACGAAGATAAACTGTTATATTTATTGCCTGCTTATAGTTATCTGATGTTAAGTCTCATTAATTTTCACATACAATAGATTACGCTTAGTCAGAGCTATTTTGTCGAGATGTCCAAATTTTTCCCAGGACTTTTGGTAATATGGTATGCAATATATTCAAAAAGGAGGATCTGATAATACTGGCGCCACCAATTCGAATAATCAGTAAATGTTACCTTAATGTAACATTTTTTTTTACTGTTAACATTATCAAGCCACTGGCTATTTCTTTCTAATGATTCTCGCGTTTTCTATTATAACCATAGGGTGAATATAGTTATAATTTAAACACCAAAAAAAACCTTCAAAAAGAAAATGTGAAATCTTATGCAGATGCAATTAATGTCAAAGCCCAGTGAGCCATTGAAACATTGACCACTGTATCGTTTGAAACCATGATAAGCGAATAAGCATATATCTCTCCTTATGTCATCTTTCTGAAACGTGAGTTAGTTCATAATGGCAACGACAATGCTTGCCCGAGAATTCACACAAGATTTGAATCAAATAGAAAACAATTACAGCTCTGTGACACACAATATGCCATTGTACGCGTGTCAAGTATTGAACTAAATGTTGGGATAAAGCAACATTTGGTCTTAACGGACATATGCAAACATGTCTTTCTCGTTCATATTTCAATGAGCTTGTTATGTAAAAGTTATGACCTTTTCCACCATATGTGCGGTACTAGCTACTCATCATAATTATAGTTTTTATCGCCCATTTGCGGCCATCTTCAGAACTCAACAGATCCTACGTACTGGTGAATACCCACGTTCGTTATATACTCAGAATTAATTTTATAGGCGCTAACATAAATCAAAACGTATAATTTTAACGACCTACATTTCTCTACCATAAAACCTTTTATTACTGGGAAGCCGTTTTTTACTTTGTTACGGGGTGCCTCTTGGCGAAACGCGTCTTTGTATGTAATTTTTAAAAAGGGCCAGAAAAAATGAGTGGTGCTATTAGTTACTTATTGATTTAGCCTTGGTTAATTCTGAATACAAGATGTAGCCCAAAATAGTTTGGGAAACATTTGCCGACCAAGCATCGCCAAGATACATCTTGGGTTCATTTCAAATTATTTTAGGCTACTTTTGATCTACTAACTCTTGAAGAATTAATGTGAGATTGACATGTGTTCGCGCTTTAATCGCTGTTGGAAAAAATGCCAAGCAGAAAGCTTGTTTATCAAAAGGACTGTGGGTCATTTCAGTGCTGAAAAATGAACTATTTGTAATATCAGGCAGATAGCTACATGTTATCATATTAATCATCCATAACTAAACGACACTGATCTAAAACGATTTTCTTTATTAACGTTTTAAGGGCTTCAGACATAATATTTGGATGTGTTTTAACACGTTGACCAGCATTTAGTGCCTCATAATACAACGAATGTCTTTTAAAGAAAAAATATTGAGTATTTCCGTTTGATCGATTGGTATCATTTTGCACCATAGCTTTTAAAAAATGGAACATGGTTTGGTGATCTTCCCATCGAAAAACAACAGACTTTGGCTATTTTCGTGTCCACACAAGCCACGTACTCTTCTACAAGCAGAACTATATTTTTTGGATTTTCTTACCAGTTTCTATGAGCTGTGACAAAATAAATCAATATAAAAGAGTATTTATCCAGAGACAGCAAACAAAAAACACTCTTGAAATTGTTCGTCTGATCAACGAAAAAAGTAAATTGAAACAACTAGCCTTATAATGTCACGAGAAAGATATCAACAGTCTTTGTACTGATATTGGTTTGCTAGTCGGTAAATCTATTGTCTTAATCACAACTATACGCCGCACTTGATCAAGTGATACAGTAAGTACTATGGAGTTCAATGTTTTGTGTTTGCTTTGCTCGCTTTGAAAAGCGTATAGCTGATATAGAAAATTATGATAGAACATTTCAAAAATGACAGGAAGAAACAAAAATACTCGTATAACTTACGAATATAGAACAATCTCTTTTCAGTCACTGAGTTACCAAAGGTTCATTTCATGCTACAAAACGGTGAAATGTCTTTCAAATCTCTACTTATAACATTTTTAATCGTTTTTAATTTTAGTATACCTTCTTTATTTAGTTTTTAAACTTCTACGGAAGATTCTTGATGTTCTGTTCAAATAGTTTTGATGACCCCTTTAGTAATGCGATAATATAAAAATTGCTCATTTTATTTTTTCTGTTCCATATTTCCTTGAAACAATATGGTTTTGGCATGTGTAGTTACTATTCACACACTGCCTTTGCGTCCTGCCTCCAATGCACAAATAACGGAACCAAACTTTCAAATGCTCATTTTGTCGGTTATGGTATTGTAAATCTTTCTCATATCGTAAACTGCAGTACGATGGTTGCTTTTTCAGGACGGGTGTGAAAGGGAGTGTAATAGATTTATCTATTTCGGGCCTTTGCGGCCTTAGTAACGCAACTTGATTTCAGGATGATCAACTTTATTCTGTCTAAAAATGTATATTGATAGGTTCCTTTGGTCATTCCTCTGCTTAGCGCAGCATTTCCGGTGAATTATATTACTTACAATACCTAAGTTTCTTATAACAATATATTACACAGTATGATCTTACGATACTACCAGAGTTCTTTGATACATTTAAAATGTTGCTTATCTGTCTCATTTTAGGATCATTTTTTCCAAATAGGTCAGATTTAGACCCGTAGACAGGTATGTTATTTCAAACAGTAGAGACAAAACTGAACGTCCTACTGCGGAATATGTCTCCACTCCACGTACTGGAACCTAAAGGAATGCAAAAACAGAAGAGATGTGTCATTGCCGTCAATGTCTATGGACATATCGCCAATATTTCTCACAAGACTTATCACCAGAATTCAAGCTAAGAGTTCTCTCCATTTTTCCAGTACGCGGCGCATCTAGTCATATGTGCCGAGACGTTTGGCTTGAATGACTTATAAAGGTATTCAAATATCTCGTCTTGCGAGAATCAACCCTAATTAGATTATTTATGTTTTCAGTACAGAACCGTTAAATAGAAAAGATGATACAAAGGAAAAAACCTCACATCTTTCTTGAATCCTTCTCTAGTTGTCGGCTTCTTGCTGGCGATAGTCCCGAGCTTCTATTATGGGACCGCATAATCCCTTTCTTGTTTGATGTTGTTGGTATAGCTATTTGGGTCCTAATCTATTTGTCAAACCTGTATATATACCTTGAAAACATAGGGAAGCACTTGATCAAGCATATTGTGCGCACAGTAGATATTAAGCTTATATATACATTTAGATTTTGTTTATCAAAGTTTGGATTCATTTCACTTCATCGTATTCTACAGTGAAATTATTCTGAGCTTGTGATATGCGTTTGTATATTGATTATTAGTCTTCCACTAGACACCAGAGAAATATTCCAAGAAAAATCAGAACACCTCAGATTCAAATGTCTTTGCGCTCGCCAAACTCGGTCCGCCTGTAGTCGAATTCGCAATGCCTTTGTTTATTCAGTTCCCCATGGAAATCAACCTCAAACTCTGTTATTTTCACCGCATACCTATCCAGCGATGCGAGTGGGTTCATCACACGAAATTTCGTAATTCTGATGGATAGCTCTAATTTGCTTAGAGTCGTCACGTATTTCATTAACATAACTAAAGTTCTTTCTAAATTGTTGTTAATTTCGTTTAACAAGTGGTCCTTCGCTGCCGCACCGACAGCTTGAATGCAGAATTACCAGAAGCCACCATGAAATTATATTAAGTGTAAATGTGACGAGAAACTGAAACGAAAGGAGGGATTCTTCGAGAATTTAAATGAGTGTCTTGGTCTTGAGCGACTGGACTTTTTGGTTATATTGACTTTTTAGCTCCTGTTATTATCTTTTGAACTCACAGTATTCCACTATATTATTTAAAACGAGGTGAGGATCTAACATACCTACTAATTTGATATTGGTAATAATACTTGAACAGTTGTTAATGACA